AAAAAAAAAAAAAGAGAGAGAGTATTCCTTTGTCTAATAATATGTGAAGACTAGATTCACCTTGCCCCATAACACCTTACCTTACTTACCTCTTAATCTCTTTTGGGGGACTGTTAGACACTCCGTGTGAGGCTGTCAAGTGTTGAGGGGAGCCTTGCTTCTCCTGCTGTGCACCACAAACTGCATTCTAAGCAGACTGGGGTTGGTTCCCCAGACTATCAGGAAGTGGGTACTTTGATCTTATGCATATAGAAAGAACAAAATCCACTACTTGTTTCCCTTGGGCCTGGATCATGTTGAAAGATATACCTCTACTCTGACATCAGAGCAATTCAAAACATTGATGAGTCCACCGTCTTGAGACCTTGGTATCATTTCTTACCAGTGTTAGCCAAAGCAATTTAGCAATTAATTGGATCCAACTCCTAGTGACCCCTCCTTGGGTTTCGGAGGCAGTATCACTATGGCAGTTGATTGCCCAACCTTCCTTCCGAGGAGTGGCTGGTAGGTTTGAACCGCCAGCCTTCTGGTTAGCAGTCAAGTGCCTTAGGCACTACGCCACCAGGGCTCCCTTAGCAATTAATAGTGTAGTCCAATTTACTATAGATACTGTGGTGGGGACAAATTGTTTTAAACTAAAAACTGAAATCTCACCATATGTGACTAGCTTTTGCTATTTGAAAGGAAAGATTCTGAGACTCCTGTGTATTTTTCTCACCAGGGGCAGGTTGTTGTGTGCTGTCCAGTTGATTTTCAACTTATATAGCAACTCCATGTGACAAAGCAGTACTGCCCCACAAGGTTTCCTAGGCTGTAACCTTTACGGGAGCAGATCACCACATTTTTCTCCCTCAGGGCCACTGGGTAGGTTAGAACCAACAACCTTTTGGTTAGTAGCCAAGGACTCAACTATTGGGGAACTGGCTTCAATGCTGGTCTAACCTCTCATGAAAGACCTCTCTCTACTGGTCTGCTAAAAAGATAGAACCCACCTCTTTCTACTGCCATCAGGCCTGTCCTCCACCGATGTCTGGATTCTGGAAGCTTCTTGTAAAGGGGCAAGTAGAGGATATGCTCTTAATCTTAAATTCTCACCACCTCACCACAGCTTAGAATGTCATGGAAACTTAAGCAATCTTCTATCTCAAGATCAGCACTTCAAGTGAGTTGGGAGATAAGCCCAAGAAAGAGGCAAACCAAACCAAACCAAATATCAGAACCATCAGGCTCTTCAACAGAGTCTTGTGGTGGCTGCAATGAAAGCTGAGGAAGTCCTTTGCTCATCTAGTTTCCTCTCATTTTACAAACCCTTGTGCTATATGGTTCCCCATCCCTTCATAGTTTCAAAGTCTTGTACAAGCAAGTGGAGTGCTCGCACCACTTTACACAGCTCCTCAACAGACTCTTCAACTCTAGCAAGTGGCTGAGAAAAAGGTACATGTGGGTACTGATAGTCATGCCAAAGCTTGCATGTAACCAGGACTGCACCAGCACACCCAGGAGAAAAATACACCAGAGAGCCCTTGAAGGAAACCTTGGAGTCAGACAAAAAAAAAAAAAAGGTCTGTGTGTCCTCCCAAAGCACCAGACTGACCCAAATTTTAGCTCTGGGGCGCTTGCTCTCCAAAAGAGAACTCAACAATTGGCCTTTTGTGATACACATTATGCATCAAGGACTGGGTGGAAAAAACCTAGTGCCTTTCACCTGTAACCTCAGCCTGGTTTCTAGGATCAGAGGAGACATGACTCCTCCAGAATTCAGCTAGTGCACAGTACAGTGTATTTACAGGGGGGTAGGACAGACACGCCAGAAAGCCCCAGCATACACACCATACCTCACCCAGAAGTATGAGTGCACACACATAGATGCACGCACGCACACACACACACACACACACGCACACGCGCGCGCCAAACTGGGGAGGCCAGGGCGGAAGGCCAAGTTCACTTTGAGAAACTAAGGCTCAGAAAGGAATAGTGACTGGTCCCAGGTCACACTGCTAGTAAGGAACAGGGCTCTATGCCCCAGCCTCTGGATTCCTGAGTACCCCCATCCCCACCTGCCTGCCCTCACCACTCGCGGCTAAGAGTAACCAACATCCCCATCGAACTTCAGCCCCAGTTTCCCCGCCTTGGTAGGGCCTCCTAGGAACTTGATCTTCGCCCCTGCGGCCACCAGCCACATCACACACCCTGCCTCCCCACAGGCTGGGCCCACCGCTTCTCCCAGTCTAAATCCCCAGCCCATCTCCCCACCGGCCAGCGGACCTGCAGAGTCGCGCTCCCGCGAATCGGCGCCGGCGGACATTTCCTCTCTTGGTTCCTCCAGCGCTTCATCCCACCGCCTACCCCGCCCGCTCCGCCCCGCCCCTACACGGCACCTCGACCAATTGAAGGCTCCTCTGTGCTAGCGCCTCGCCCCAAACAGAACGGAGCCCGCCTCCTGCAGCTGGGCCTCCTCCAATCAGCGCTACCGCTTCTGGGACAGATCCCTGCCTCCGCCAATTCTCTCTCACCCTGGCCAGGTACCTGCGGCCGAGTTCCAACGCCGCTGTGTCTGCGATTCCCGCAATTCTGGCTCCAACTCTGTGCACCTGTATGGAGATAGCCACTGGAACTCAGGGTTCTGGGTAGCAGGATCGAAACCTGTGGCAGAATATGGAGGGAAAACTGAGCTGTGGGCTTCAGGAGAGGATTCCACTTCTGAATGATTGTATGACAAATATAAATCATCTAGCCTTCCCTAGTAGTCTCTGTTTCCCTACTGTCCAGAGGCGTTCTTGGGAAGGAAAAGTGCTATTCCAAGGCAGATATGGAATGTGTGGCTAATTGCCTCAATAAACAACTGCCTCCTTTGTCATAAGACTAGAACTGTGTGGTGCCCAGGTACCGTTATTTCTACCAAAATTCTGTAGAATTCTGATCAAAGGGAGAAAATGTAGAACAGAATTTGGAATTCTCATTAACTACATACTTTCTGGAGCTAAGGCTGGATGAAACTATTGCCCCGAGATAATTTTTAAAACTTAAATCAAAAATATCCCTTGAAGTTTTCTAGAAACTAAACAGTAGTTTAGCTTAACTAGTAAAAAATACCTGCCTTGAGCATTATAAGGAGCTCCGGAGCACAGTGCCTAAGGCATTTGCCTGCTAGCCAGAAGGTTGGTAGTTCAACCCCACTCCGTGGAAGGAAGACTGGGCAATCTACTTCTGTAAAGACTTACCTCCTCAGAAACCCAAAGGGGATCACTATGAGTCCCAATTGACTCTATGGCAGTGAGTTTTGGGGCTTTTGTTTTGTTTTGTTTTAGCACTGTACTTTTATTATTATTATTATTGTGATTTAAGTGAAAGTTTACAGAGAAAATTCCTTTTCCACACAGAAGTTTGTACACAATTTCTTTCATCACATTGACTGCAATCCCCACAATGTAACAGCTGTCTTCCCACTTCCTCCCTGCAGTTACCTCTTCCCTGTGTCCTCCTTTCCTATGCATTTCTGCCCCTGAGCTATCTCCCTCTGCAAATATTGGCCTTCTGTTCTACCATGACTGATCATTCTAAGGACTGTATCTACCTGATGTAAATGTTCACCCTATATTCCTGTCTGTTGTTTGGCTGGAATCCACAGGAGTGAGTTCAGTTCCAGGCCTGAAGGGTAACTAGAGATCATAGTCTCAGGGGTCTCATCAGGTTCTGTCAAACCAGTAAACCTGATCTTTTTATGATTTTGCATTTTGTTTCACATTGTTCTCCCATTCTGCCAGGATCTCCTACACTGATCCCTTTCAGAGTGGTTGACAGTGGTGGACATCATCTAGTTTTTCTGGTCTCATGGTCATATACAGCATTATGTTCTTTTAAGAGCTAGCTATCTGGCATCAAAGTGACAAGAGCCAGGGACACATTACCCAATAGGCAAGGTAAGCATGGGCTTACTAATCAATCCATAGTGAACCGTTTCACATGTTTTCATCCCATTATGTGATGAAACCGGTGTGAGATTGTTCACTCTAGGAGCTCTGGTAGTGTAGTGCCTAAGGCATTTGACTGGTAACCAGAAGGCTGGCAGTTCAAACCCACCAGCCACTGCTTGGAAGGAAGGTTAGACAATCTATTTCCATAGTGATACCGCCTCGGAAACCCAAGGAGGGGTGGCTGTGAGTCAGGTCCGACTCCACAGCAGTGAGTTGCATTTTTTTCTTGTAGTGTGTGGTGAAAATGTGAAACAATTCACTACAGATTAGTTAAGTAAGCACAAGTAAACCTGTGTTTACCTTGCTTACTGAGTATTCCATCCTTGTCAGGGATTGTAAATTGGAAAAGAGGCTTTGATTCTGTAGGAAGGTGCCACAGGGTTGGGAGAGAGTCAGATGCCAGCCGTACCTAGAAGCAGAATCTTTGATGTGGTGGAAAAATGTGAAATTGTTCACTACAGATGAGTAAATAAGCACAAGTAAGTCTGTGCTTACCTTGCTTGTTAGGTACTGACACTAACAATAGCAACTTGAAAGGTTAGATAGGAACCTTAGGGGACAGTGAGTTTATGTTAATGGAGACAGAACAGCTCAGAAAAAGAGGGTAAGAATGGCACAACTGAAAGAATGCAATCAGTGTCACTTCTGTACTTGTAGAAATGGTAAAAATTGGTGTATGTTTTGCTGTGTATATTCTCAGCAACAACAACAAAGTAATTTTTTTAAGTGCTGTTTCCAATGTGGAACAAAACTCAAAATCATAAAAAAGAAAAAAAGGACCAGGTTTGCTGGTCTGATGGAGCCTGGTAGAACCCCTGAGGCTATGACCCCTAGCTGCCCTTCAGGTCTGGAATTGAACCCACTCCTGTGGCTTCCAGCCAAACAAAAGACAGGCATATGAGCTGAACATTTACATTAGGTAGATACATTCCTTGGACAGATCAATCATGGGAGAATAGAAAGGCTGTGTATGCACAGGGAGACAGCTGGGGGTCGGGCAGGAGCGCATGGAGGGAAGGACACAGGGAAGAGGTAAAGTATGGGGAGGAAGTGGGAAGAGAGCTGTTGTGTTGTGGGAAATTGCAGTCAATGTCATGATACAAAATATATGTGAACTGCTGTATGGAAAATGAATTTGGTCTGTAAACTTTCACCTAAATCACAATAAAAATTTTTTAAAAAAATGTGTTTTTAAAAAAAGTGCTGTTTCCAGGCAGAGAACCCCCTCACACACACACATTCTTCTCACCTCATAGTAACTATGTGCCAAGATCTGTGCTTTCTGTATTTTACCCCTTTTAATATTCATAACAAGCTTTATGGGGTAGGGAACTATTACTTCAATTTTATATATGAGACCATTGAACTCAGAGGTTAACTATCCAAGGTCACAGAGCAAATGGCAAAGTGGGCATTCAAACCAAAGTCAGTATCAAGGAGTGCTAATCTCCATCTAGGGAGTCCTGGGGTGGGGGTGGGGGGGGCGTGAAAATGGTTAAGTGTAGGCTGCTAACTGAAAGGCTGGGAGTTCGAATCTACCCAGAGACTCCTCAGAGGAAAGGCCTAGTGATTGACTTCTGGAAAATCAGCCTAAGTAGAAGTGGAACACAGTTCCTCTCTGAGCCACATGAAGTCATTGTAACAGACAATTCTACTGGTTGAACCTCCACCAGCAACTCAAAAACCACTCCAAATAAACACACACTTCCAAGTAAAAGCAGTGTGCTTGCTGTGACATAACCTTCAAGACAAGTCCTCTTGTTCGCCCTTCCAACCAGATTGCCACCCCTAAGCCTCTCCTTCCTAGAAATTTTTGAGCCACCGCTGCCTCTAACTCAAACCCAGGTGTGTCTGATTCTAAAACACTTGTTATTGACTGATACATTATTCTGCCTGCTATACTTCATGAACCCAACAGAACTGAATTGGATTTGCAAGGACATCATAAATAGGAAATTTGGGTTCTAGTTCTGACAATGCCACTGCCAATCACACCTTTACCATTTTTTCACTATTTACATACTCTGGTGGCATAGTGCCTAAGGCAGTTAACTGCTAACCAGAAGGCTGATGGTTCAAACCCATCAGCCACTCCTCAGAAGGAAGGTTGGGCAATCTACTTCTGTAGTGATACCACCTCAGAAACCTAAGGAGGGCTTGCTATGAGTCAGATCCGACTAGACAGCAGTGAGTTTGTTTTTTTTAACCCATACTACTAATGGAAACAGTGGTAGTTCAGTGGTAGAACCCCAGCCTTCCATGAAGGAGGCCACAGTTCAATTCCCAGCCAATGCATCTCATGTGCAACCAACACCCCTTTTCCATGCAGAGGTATATGTGTTGCTATGATGCTGAAACAGTTTTCAGCAAAGTTTCCAAACTAAGACAGACTAGTAGATCTGCTTCGCAATCTACTTCCAAAAACCAGCCAATGAAAACCCTATTACAATGGTCCAATCCACAACCAGTTACAGGGATTGTGCAGGACTGGGCAGTGCTTTGTTCCATTGTGCACGGGGTTGGCATGAATCGAAAGTTGGCTCTACAACAGCTAACAAGCATACTTAGCTTCATCTGATCCTCATAAAACCCTTGGAGCAATACGTAAGCCAAGTTCATATTTCCAATGTACAAATAAAAAAGCTGAATACACTGTCCACATTTACATTAGAAAATGGTATAATTGGGATCTGAACTGAAATCTCTGGGTTCTGTGGGCTTTGGAGTCAGACCACCTGTTCTCAGACCACCTGTGGTTTTAAACCTGGCCCTATTAGTGCCTAAGGCATTTGACTGCTAACCAGAAAGCTGGCAGTTCAAACCCACCCACAACTCCTCAGAAGGAAGATTGGGCAATCTACTTCCGTAGAGATACTGCCTCGAAAACCCAAAGAGGGGTTGCTATGAGTCGGATCCAACTCGACGACAGTGGGTAAAGTAGAGTGTAAGCACCTACTCCTTAATATTGTTCAAAAAGGAGAACATGATTATTGTGGTATGGCTTGGAAAATGTTGGGCACAGCTTACTTAATTAATGTTAGCTAATTCCTTCTCTGAACCTAAAAAATTGGAAGTTGTCAAAAATGAAATGGAATGCATAAAAATTGATATCCTAGGTATATTAGTGAACTGAAATGCACTGGTATTGGCCATTTTGAATTAGACAATCATATAGTCTACTATCCCAGGAGTGATAAATTGAAAAGGAATGATGTTGCATTCATGTACAAAAAGAATATTTCAAAGCTATCCTGAATGAAGTTGGAGGGCACTATGCTGAGTGAAATAAGTCAATCACAGAAGGACAGATATTGTATTAGTCTGTTATTGTAAAAAGTCAAGGAAAGGTTTATATATGGAAGGAAACTTTGTTGGTTACCAGGAGAAGGAGAGGGGAGGGAAAATTGCTGGATAGGTTAATGTGTGTGTGTGTGTGTGTGTGTACCAAAGATTGTTAGTAGTTATCAGGCAGAAAGAGGAAGCTTTTGTTTGCCAGACACAGAGTTTATGCTAAAGGTGGTGGGATATTTTGGAAAAGGATAGCAATAATGGTGACACAACATGAAAAATTCATCACTGTCCCTGAGTTGTAAATGTGGAAGTTGTTATACTGGTGAATGTCATGGTGTATATGTTTTCACAACAAAAAAAGTAAATAAATAATAATAA